AAGGGAGTTTTTCCTTCCCACTGTTGCCAAAGTGCTTGCTCATAGGGAGTTATTACTAGAGCTACAATAATAAAGCAACGAGAAAAAAAAGTTATAAATATTAAATAATGTATTTATGATAATTCCATTTGTGTCACTATCCACTCTGTGCAGGCAGCAAGCTTAAACTTTTAAACTGTAGAGATACAATAATTTTGCTGCTGTAAAATAAGCATTTTGTCATATTTAAAATATAAATCTAATATTATCTATTTCTTAATTTATGTTCTTTAAAATACAGTGTGTGTGTTTTTAAATATCACAATTGCATGTAGACATGCATATTACATCGTTTTTAGTGAAATATAATCCCAACAGAAAGGCAGGAAAAGCCCTGTAACTTCCTTAAAAACTAAATATGTTCACTAAAACGGTGGACAGAGCTACAGACCCATGACAGCCTTACCCCGTCAGCTAGCAGCTATGACCAGCACTGTGCAGTTAATAAAAGGACAGGTATTTTTTGTCGCACTGTTACACACACAGCACGCTCATTTGTCAGTTACTATGGCAAGCCATTAGCGCCAAATATCGCCCCCTTTCTAACCCGTTTGGTTACAAAATGGTGTAAAAAACTACGTTTAATTATTTGAAAAGCCGATTTCAGCACTGGTACTGAATAGGCAATCGCTTAGCAGCAAGGTGAATTGGTGATGCATTAGTGTGGTCTGCACTTCCTCTTCTTTGATTGGGTGAAATGAGTTGAAAGTAATTGGATGAAGGAACCATGGGGAGTGCCCTGCATAATTTCAATAAAACAGCGTTTTAAACGCCGTTACAGCTGACACAGAACGCCGTTTAAAACGCTGTTTTTATGTGTCTTTGAACGTCGCTTTTTACGTCACTCGGCAGAGCGTTCAAAGACAAATAAAAACGGCGTTTTTAACGGCGTTCTGTGTCAGCTGTAACGGCGTTTAAAACGCCAGGTACCACTGGAGACACATCCAGGGAGACAAACGACTGACTTAAAGATGAGGATTGAAAAAGTGTCCAGACCACCACAAAAGGGGGAGGAAGACAAGCACTGAGGTATGCGAGTGCACTTCTCGACAAAACGGAAAGGCAACACCTCACATGCACACAACATGTACTGGGGGTAGCACAAAATCATACAGGAAGTGCACACATCACAAGAAGGTCCCTGTAGAAGGGGTTAACAACACACAGCGTGGTTGCCTATGGTAACTCGCAAGCATTAGGATTTAGCTGTGCCTGACTAAGATAGAGAATTTTTAATCTTTATTTAGTCTGTGAAGGTTCTCAGTCATCCAGGTCATCGTAGTCAAAGGAGCTTGCAAAGAAAAGCGTCTGGACTTCTTTAAGTTACTTGAAGAC